ATATCAGAATTTCTTTATTCATTTATCTGTTAGTAGGCAGCTAGGTTGGTTCCATAGCTTAGCTATTGTGAATTGTGCTGCTACAGACATTGATGTGGCTGCATCACTGTAGCGTGCTGATTTTAAATCCTTTGGATATATATCAAGGAGCAGGATAACCGGATCAAATGGTGGTTCCATGCCCAGTTTTTTGAAGAATTTCCATACTGCTTTCCAGAGTGGTTACACCAATTTACATTCCAACCAACAATGTATGAGTGTACCTTTTTCCTTACATTCTCACCGACATTTATTGTTGCTTGTATTCTTGATAATTGCCATGCTGGTTGGATCGAGATGGAATCTCATTTGCATTTCTCTAATTGCGACAGATATTGAACATCTTTTCATATATATGTTGACCGTCCATATTTCTTCTTCTTTTTAGAACTGTTTAGTTCCTTTGTCCATTTATGGATTGGGTTATTATTATTATCATTATTATTATTATTGTTTTTGTTGTTGTTTTGTTAAGCTTTTTGAGTTTTTCATATAACCTGGAAATTAACACTCTATCTGAGGCATAGGTGACAAATATTTTCTCCCATTCTGTAGGTTCTCTCTTCACATTCTTCACTGTTTCTTTTGCTATGAAGAAGCTTTTTTTAGTTTGATACCATCCTATTTATTGATTCTTGATTTTACTTCTTGTGCTTTAGGAGTCTTGTCGAGGAAGCTGGTCCTAAGCTGATATATTGGAATGTTGGGCCTACATTTTCTTCCAGTAGGTGCAGGATTTTCTGGGCTAATGCCTAGATCCTTGATCCACTTTGAGTTGAGTTTTGTGCAGGGTGAGAGAGATAGGGGTTCAATTTCATTCTGCTACATATGGATTTCCAGTTTTCCTAGCACCATTTGTTGAAAGGCTGTCTTTTCTCCAATGTACGTCTATGGCACTTTATCTAGCGTAGGATAACTATATTTATGTGGGCTTGTCTTTGTGTCTTCTATTCTGCTCTATTTGTTTTCAAGTCTATTTTGGTGCCAATACCATACGGTTTTTGTTACTGTAACTCTGAGGTATAATTTAAGATCTGGTATTGTTATTCTTCCTGGTTTACTTTTCTTGCAAAAGATTGCTTTGGCTACTCTGGGCCTTTGATTTTTCCAAATGAATTTCATGACTGTTTTTCTATAAAGAACATCATTGGAATTTTAATAAAAATTGCATTAAGTCTGTATAGCACTTTTGGTAGTGTGGCCATTTTGATAATTATTTCTGCCTATCCATGAACATGGGAGATCTTTCTATCTTCTGAGGTCTTCCTCAATTTCTTTCCTTAGTGTTCCGTAGTTTTCATTGTAGAGGTCTTTCACTTCTTTTGTTAGATTTATTCCCAAGTTGTTGTTGTTGAGGCTATTGTGAATGGGATTGTTTTCCTAATCTCTCTTTCGCCTGATTCATCATTGGTGTGTAGGATTGCAATTGATTTACGGGTATTAATTTTGTATCCTACTACCATGCTGAATTTATTTATGAGTTCTAAAAGTTTTGTGGTAGAGGTTTTTGGGTCTTCTAAATAGAGGATCATGTCATTGGCAGACAGAGACAGTTTGGGTTCTTCTTTTCTTATTCATATCCCTTTAATTTCTTTCATATGTCTAATTGCTCTGGCTAGAACTTCAGAGACTATGTTGAATAGAAGTGGTGAAAGAGGGCATCCCTGTCTTGTTTGTTTTTAGAGGGAATACTTTCAGTTTTTCTCCATTTAGAATGATGTTGACCTTGGGTTTAGCATAGATAGATTTAACAACGTTGAAGCATGTTCCTTCAATCCCTAGTTTTTCTAGTGTTAAAAACATGAATGGGAGCTGTTTTTTTGTCAAATGCTTTTTCTGCATCCATTAATAATCTTGTCTTTAAGCCTATTTTTTGTGGTGAATTATGTTTATTGATTTCCATATAGTTGAACCAACTTTGCATCCCTGGGATGAAACCCACTTGATCATGGCACACTATCCTTTTAATGTTTATATATATATATATATATATATATATATATATATATATATATATATGATTTGCTAGTATTTTATTAAGAATTTTTACATCTATGTTCATCAGGGATATTGGCCTGAGGTTTTCTTTCCTTGGTGTGTATTTGTCTGGTTTTAGTATCAGAGTGATACTAGCTTCATAGAACAAGTTTAGAAGGGTTCCCTCCTTTTCTATTTCAGGAATAATTTGAGGAAGATTGGTGTTAGTTCTTCTTTTAAGGTCTCATAGAACTTGGCTAAGAATCCATCTGGCCCTGGGCTTTTCTTTATTGATAGGCTTTTGATGGTCATTACTTGAAATTCATATATTTAAAATTTTCTATGTCCTCCTATTTCAGTTTGGTAGGTCATACATCTCTAGGACTTTGTTGATGTCTTCAAGATTTTTTAGTTTTGAGTATAACTTTTCAAAATACGATTATTCTGTCTTTCAGTATTATCTGTGATGACATTTCATTTTTTCATCACGAATTTTAATCATTTGAGTTTTTCCTCTTTTTTGGTTACCTTGGCTAAGGGTTTATCAATTTTCTTTATTTCATCAAAGAACCAACTTTCTGTTGATTTTTAAAATTTTTTTAAATCTCAATTTCATTGATTTCAGCTCTGATTTTAATTATTTCTTGTTCTCTACTGATTTGGATGTTGATTTGTTCTTTTTCTAGGAGCTTGAAATGTAACATTAGATGATTTATTTGGTGTCTTTCTATTCTTTTAACATATGATCTCAGTGCTACTCATCTATTTTTTGAAATATTTATTTTTTAGTTGTAGTTGGACACAATACCTTTATTTTATCTATTTATTTTTATGTGGTGCTGAGGATCGAACCCAAGGCCTCGCATGTGCTAGGTGAGCGCTCTACCACTGAGCCACAACCCCAGCTCTACTTATCTATTTTTTAATGAAAGAATATAGAGCAAAATGTTAGACCTCTGAGAGGGCAGGATAAAATTGGATAAATATTCATTTTTGTTATATTATTAGATTTTCTTATCCAGCTCTCATGGAGGATTTACTATTCAACAATACTAGAGATATTTCCACAAGAGGAAGGAAGGTCATCGTTACCATTTGCCAGAGAACTTTCCAGAAAGCTTGAGCGCTGTGGGTGGAGGAGGGGATAGCAGCTGAGGAGGTGGTGGTGCAGTATTTCCAGAGACTTTGTCCTTAAGGTCAAAAAGGAAAGAGAAAGAGATCCCTCATAGAGTCACTACTAGGGGAAGAGGGGCATTTTTAAGTATGGAGAGATTGAATCCTGTAGACAGGATCAAGAGCCTAGGTGGAAAAACTAATCTTGAACCAGAGAGGGGGCCCCTTTTCTTCAATAAAAGGGCTAAATTCTCTTTCTTAAAATTTAATTGAATTATTTTGGTACTGGGGATTGAGCTCAGGGATGCTCTATCATTGAGCTATATCCCCAGCCCCATTTATTGATTGATTGATTGAGACAGGGTCTCCCTGTGGCTGAGGCTGGCCTTGAATTTGCAATCCTCCTGCCTCAGCCTCTTGAGTCTCTGGGATTACAGGAGTGTGCCATTGAACCCAGCTAGATTTCTTAAGGATCTTGAATTCTATTTTATGGGGAAAATGAGATGATGTATAATTTGTAGAAAAAGAGTGACAGAACAGATCAGGAAGGGAAGCCCACTCCAGGAGAGTTTAAAAAGGGAGCAATGACTTGCTCCTTGGAGGAAGGGAAATGGGTGGTACAGTCAGTGGGTTAGGGTGGAAGCCAGCCAAGGCCACGTCTTTGCCGAGAGTCCCAGCTCTACTGTACCTGGAATTCCCTGGGACGGGTCATGACCAGCAAGGCTGTCTCTTGGCTGGCTCTGGCCAGCGGTACCCTAATGTTTGGGGAATGGTCTGAATTTTGTCCCCATAGAAGCCTGTGGGGCCCAAAAAGCTGGGCCACAGGATGGACATCCACTCTGCCTCTGAACAAGACTTCTTTCCTTCCTTCAAAGGTTTGGGAGCACAATCGAGAGTTGGAGGCCTGAGATGGTTCCCCCGAGCCACACCAATTTGCAAAGCGCCTGGTGGTAGGTGGCAGGGAGGGTCAAGCTGCCTGGTCTGAGGCCGGTTCCTTCTTCTCCCCGTCCCCCAACCAGCGGGTAGCTCTCTTGAGTCCCTGCCCTCCACCAACCCTGGGCAGAAGTCAGAAAGCCACTTTCTGTCTGCTGTCCCCCACCTGGGGGCCTCCCAGGTGCCCTCCCTTGGCATCACCTCCCTGCCTCTGCAGGTGGGCCCTGGCCCTGAAGTGCCAAGGCAGCAGGAACGTCCTCAGCGCCCTGCGGAAGGCCGTGGAGGTGGACTTCAAGGACAAAGACAAACAGCAATCGCAGGGCATCTACCTCTTCACAGGGGGCATCCCGGATCAGGATGTGGTGGGTAGCCCTGTCCTGGGCTTGCGTTATATTTCTGCATTTGTTGCAGGACTGGGGTTGACCCCAGGGCCTCAGGCCACGCTCAGCAAGCGCTCTGCCCAAGCTGCAGCCCCAGTCCCAGCTTGATTTTCTAAAGGCTTCTCAAACTTTAGGGCACAGAAAAGCACCTGGGGATGGTGTTAAAATGCAGCTCCGGGCTCAGCAGTCCCTGAGAATCTGCATTTCTGACAAGTGCCCCCCCTCCCATGTCCATGCTGCTGGTAACAGACCACACTTGGTGGAAATTGTGACCTGGGCTCATCACTAGACCAGCCGGGCCATGGGCCCTTGAGAAAGCTCACTGGGCTGAGCCGAGGGGCCACCAGGAGCTTCCAGGCCCTCAGCTGTGGGTCCCTCCTGCCTTCTCTCGTCCCCACAGTCCATTCTCAGCGCCTACATGGCCGAGGCCTGCGGAGGCTGCGACCTCCAGCTGAACGTGTGTCTCTTCTACGTGGGTGAGCCAAGGATGGACACCACGCCCCCTGCCTGCTACGCCAGCCGCGGGGACACAGCGGCAGCCTACAAGGAGCTCACCCAGGCTGCGGGTGGTCGCTTCCACTGGTTTGGAGACACAGGTGCGTGAGGGCGGCCTGGTCTTCCTGCCTGCCTCTTTCTAGACGGCTGTCGGAGCCATAGATGCATGCCATAGATATATTCCAGAAAAGTGGCACGTGAAAATCATAGTTTAAAAATACAAAACAGAGGGGCTGGGAGTGTAGCTCAGTGGTAGAGCGCATGCTGAGCATGCCTGAGGCCCAGGGTTCAATCGCCAGCATGAAAAAAAATGTAAAACTACTGTTCTGGAAATGAGTAGTAGCAATAGGTGCACAGCACCGTGGATGTACTTCACCACACCACATTGGACACTTAAGGCCGAAAGTGTAGCTCAGTCCTAGAATGAGTGAATTGCATGCCCAAGGCCCTGGCTGGGTTCAAAACAAAACAAAACAAAAAACCCCACCAAATCTTTAAATGGCAAATTGTATGTTATGTATGTATGACTACAAAATTTTTAAAGTTTTTTTTTTTGTAAATACAAAACTCTTGAAAATATTTTAAAATCTCAGATCTAGAAGGCACCCTAAAGTTCTCTTACATTAACCTTTTTCAAAGCATGGTATGTTTCCAGAAGGTGACCTACAGGACAGTTGGTGATGGTCCATGGAGTGTGTGTGTGAGTGCGCTCACAATGTGCTTGTTTCCAGGTGTGTATGAGAGTGATGACATCAGTGCCATCACTGCTGAGATACAAAAGGCCTTCAACTACTCCCAAAAGGTAAGCCTGGGGCTGGGGCCAAAGGCCTGAACTGGCTTCTGTCGTCACTTCCTGGGGCTGCTGAAATGAAACACCACAAATGAGGCTTCTGAAAACAGAGACAGCTGTCCTTCCCCATTGGTAGCACCCTGTCTTCCGGAAACTAAAGTCTTCAGAAGGCGATGCTCCCTGGGAAGGCTCTGGGTGGAATCCTTCCAAACTTCTTCCAAGTTTTAATGGGGACCAGTGGTTACAAAAAAGAAAAAAAGTGTTGAATGCTTATCACAAAGGGCAAGATGGAGAGGAAATGAGGTCCACTCTAGAGCACAGCAAAGATGGCTGGGAATTTATAAGCAAAGAACAGAGTCAGTAGTTGGAAAAGTACCATGAGGAGCTTAATTAGACACCAGGGGCAGGGGATTCTTGCTAAGGGCCTGCCATGGGCTTAGATATCAACCATGGGAGATAAAGAGCTAGACTGGATGTCAAGGGTGGAGCAGTTCATGCCAAACCAACTCAGCAGAATTCTACAAGGTGGAGACCTTGTACAGAAGATGGTTCAAAGGAGCTTGGCTAAAGTTTGGTCAAGGAGGGAGTCCTTGTCACTGGCTACCCTGGCATTTCTTGCCTGTGAAAGCACAACTCCAATCTGCCACCATCTTCACATGACTGTCTTCCCTCCGTGTGTCCCTATCTCTTCTCTTATAGGGACACCAGCCAGATTAAGGGCCCACCCTATTCCAATATGACTTCATCTTAGTCTACATCTTAATTACCCTATTTCTGAGTAAGTTCACATTCACAGGTACCAGGGGATGAGACTTTAACAGACCTTATTAGTGTCCTGGTCCACTAACACCAAAGGTTTCAGAGGGAACGGGGGTGGGGGGGGGTGTCCTATAATTCATTGGTTTTCAGGATGAATACTGTACATTCTGGCCCTCTTTGAGTTTCTTGAACACATGAAGCCATCTCTAAGCTCAGGGCTTTTACTTTGCTTTCTCTGTCCCTTGTCCTCCTCCCAGATCTTCCGTGGATTATTCTATTCTACTCAGCATTCATATTGAATAGTGTGACCTCCTCACAGAGGGGAGCACTATACAGTGAGATTAAGAGGGGTCAGAAGAGGCCAGATCACATCAGGAGCAATGAGAATAGGAATCAGGAAACAGAGAACATTTAAGGGACCATCGGCCACACTCGTAACTGATGGAATGGGCAGGGTGAGGAAGAAGAAATCCAGAGGAACTCCCAAATTCCTCACTGGAGAACATGGTGGTGCCATGACTGAGAGGGAGAAAACAGGAGGAGCCCATGGAAGGTGGCCTCAGACAAAGATGAGTTTGTGAGGCTGGTGAGATAACAAGTGGGGTATCCTACAGGGAGGTAGCCAAACCAATGGGCTGGAGATAGAGATTTGGGGTTATTCCAGCCATGGGGATGGACAGAGAGCTTATATGGGTCACAGTCAAGGCCAGGGAAGAGTGTAAGAAGGAGACTCATCCTGACTCGCATTTTGATTAGTGCTATTTGTTCCTTCTAGACTAACTCCTGGAGGGCAGGGCCAAGTCTCCCTGTCCTTTTCCTCTATGGCCCTGGATCTGTGGCTCCTGAGCTGTGCTTTAGTCGTCTCCCCTGAGAGGGTCCCCTCTGGCACTCTGTAAACCCCTTCTCCCAGGGTACACAGCAGTCCCATTCCCACACCTAATAAACTCATTCACAGGCTCCAGTGGACAGTGAGGTTTAATCCACCCTTCCTTGGCATGTTTATTTATATCTGAATAGTGTCCTTAGTGCTTTGATGGCAGTCACTACTAGAGAAACTGGCAGGTGAGGCATTTGTAAGCAAAGGGAATAAGCATTACACAGCAGCTCTGCCAGCATCTGGAGTCAGTCCTGGGCACAGGGTGACCACCCTGTTGATGCCCAGGTGTCTTACCATGGAAGCAGCCTGGCTTAGGACCCAGACCAACCTGGGTTTGAGTTGAAGCTCCTCTGCTTACTAGCAGTGTGGCCTTAGATAAGAACCTTAAGCTCACAGATGCAGTGGTGCACGTCTGTAATCCCAGCATCTTTGGAAGCTGAGGCAGAAGGATCCTGAGTTCAAAGCCAGCCACAGGAACTTAGGGAGGCCCTCAGCAACTTAATGAGAACCTGTTTCAAATTTTCATACTTTTAAAAGGGCTGGGGATGTGGCTCAGTGGTTAAGCGCCCCTGGGCTCAAAACCTGGTACTAAAAATAAGAACCTTAAGCTCACAGAACTTTGCTTTCCTCATCTATAAAATGGGGGTAAGTTAGCACCCACTCTATTGGCATAGTTGGCATGAGGGATTGAGATTTCCCCAGGTATTAACTTGCCCAGGGTCTTGTGCATCCCAGTCCTTCCATACGGGGTACTAATTATTGTCAATACACTGATCCACGGCACCCTCAGCCCGAGAGAGCATTCAGTGACAGAAAGAGGCATGGTGGTGGGGGGGCGGGTTTCCAGGGACTCTCCTGCTGGGTATGTTTGTGCCTCTCTGTCCACAGTGGCCAGGGTGCTGCTAAACCATCTGATTCCCATTGCAGTGTGCCTTACTGGTGGCCTCTCTGAAAAGCCATTCGGGTAAAGAACTGGAGAGTGCAGCCCTCCCCAAAGAAAAGCCAAAGATGCTCAAGCAGAGAAGCCAACCCAAGCAATTCAGTACTCCCGAGCCCGCAGCAGCCCCCTCGGTGGCCAGAATGGTTTGACTCCCTGCCCTTATAACATGCAAAGGATTTTGTTTACAGTTTGTCTCCTGGTCTTTCCTAGATCTTAAGACGTCTGGGGCCAGCACAGGTGGGGGTAAGGGCTTCAGGGGTGGGTGTCCCATGGGTGCCTCCCACCCTGTCCTGCTTCTCAGCTCTGGGGCCACCTTTGGCTCTGCATGGCCCTGCTTCCTAGCTATGGAACTGGTACCCACCCTTACATCTGATGGCTTATCCTGGGAGGGTTTCTCAGGGGCAAGGGAGTTAGGTCTCCAGGGGATCTTCCTGCCACAGCCAAGGCTTACCAGAGGACTGATAGGAGCTGAGGGTGGGCCTGTGCCCACCAAGGCCCTAGCCCATTCACAGCCTGTCAAGTGTGTCTTGTGAACAATGCACCCTCAGCAGTCACGGGGCCTCTAGCAGGAAGACCCTGCCCCCACCACATGTAACAGTGCCGTGAGCCAAGGGGCAGTGACTCTCGGGGGCTCATCGGCTGCTCTCTGACAGACTCGGGAACAGCACATTTTCAGCATGAGGAAATCCATCCTGGACAGTATAGAGCTCATTTCCAGCCAGACAGCTGCATTTCCAGGGGATTCTGGGCACACAGGTGCTGCCTCACTCGAAGGACTCCACCAGGTTTGGGGAGCCAGCCCAGACCTGTCACCCTCTGTCTCTCCTACCTTCCCAAATTCTGGAGGTGACCCCAGAATCCCAGGGTCTTCCTCTTGGCCCTTCAGCGGTACATGAGCCGATCAGGTGCAAGGAGGCTGGGCCATGCCATGGTCTTTAACGGGCCCTCTCGACCCCTGGCTGGGCACTGCCCACAATGCCAGCATCTGGGCCCTCTGCATAGCAGCTTACCCCGAGGTCTTCGCTGGCTCAGAGCCCTGGGTGACTTGTTGAACTTTTGCCACACAGGGCAAGAAGGGACCTGCATAGTTATTTGTCATGCTCAAAGCCCGCAAATCCCAGTCTAATAGAAAGAGGGTCAGGAAACTGGTGAAGAAAGTTCTGGCAAACCCCCCCATAGTTGACCTACTAGCATGCTCTCTGGCCTTCTCTCATGCCACACACATTCACACACCTTTTGACCCCAAAACCCATAGTCCCCTCTAAATCTGCTGCAGAAGATAAGCCAAACACATCTGAGGATCTACTCCCTTATGCCCCTCCCTACAAAAGTTCCTGATTGACAGATTGAGATTGGGGTGACTGGGATACTGCCTGCCACAGAGAACAGGCCTGTGACGGGAAAGATGGCCTGTTTTCTAGAACATGAAAGATAACCTGGATAGAGAGAAGATCTCCCCCTTAAAAGAGCTGAAATGGCATCCACACAGTGGCAGAGTGGGCATCTCCCCAGGTGAGGCATGGCCGTGGGCAGGCTGGGGGTGGATAGTGACTAAATGATTAGTGAGTCTTGAGCATGTGCCCGCCATCTGCCAAGATGGCCCCATGCAAAGCCTGTAAGAGTCAGTCCTATGCTGTAGTCTCTTTATCAACTCATTTTACTGACAGAGGGGCTCACACTGTGCCAGCTAATCACTATTTTTATGAAAGCCCTCAGCTCATTAACCTAAAACAGTGTCTTAATTCCAAGGTCAGAGGTATACCAGAGCAGCTTAGGGCAGGGTTCTAGAGTCAGTGAGACCAGGCTGGGATCTTTCCTCTACTTCTTACTAGCTCTGTGTCCTGTTTAGCTCATCTGTACCCTGGGGGACTGTGACGATGAAATGACACAGGTCCACAAAGCATTAGGCACCATTCCTGGGGAATATCAGGACTCAGTGACCCCGGCTTTAACTATTATCAATCCAGGGGAAGACAGGAGACCTAGTGGGGGGACAAGAGGTACCTCAGAGCCATCCCAGAGCCACCCCAGACGCCTCCAAACCATGCTGTATAGCTTTATCACAGCAACCCACGAGGCTGCCCCAACCAACGAGCCAATGCCCTCTCACCGTAGCTCAGCCCATGAAAAAAGAGACAGACTGGAGGAGGAAGCCCAAGTCCAGGGCATCAGAGCCCACTCTCTCACTATTCTATACAGAGACAAGGAACAACGTGGGTAAGTCGGAGGCCACACAAGTGTTGGAACAGCCCCCTGGCCCCATGGGAACTGTTAGGGCACAGGAGGCCCCATGGGAAGGAGACCCCTCCAGCTACCTAGGACCTGCTAGCTCTGTGGTGCCTCAGGAGCAGGTCTGTCTGTTGCCCAAGGAAATAGATATGCCAAGTCCTGGCACTGCCCAGAGAATGAGATATGTCATTACTGAAGATGAGCTCTCCCCGGATTCTTGGATTTGAGGGGGCAACTGTCTTAGCTCTGAAGCTGATTGGGAAAGAGATGGAGAAGATTCCCCTAGGCCAGCCTGATGGACTTCTGTGAAATGGTGCCCATCTGAGTAGTAATCCATTGTGCCCAGGAGAAGGGAGGTCCTGAGCAGCATTACCCCAGTCCACTGAATAGCCCCCTTCCCATCTCTCCAGCAGATCGCAGTAAGGAAACTTATAACCAACCTGACAGGCAGAGAAATTGATATGAGAGAGGGACAGGCAGGGGCAGGAGGGAAGAGAGGTACACAAGGTGACTTGCTCTGTTTCTCCTAGGCTCGATGTACAAGAAGTATCCTCAAAGAAGGGCTATGAAAACCATCAACTCATCTATTGAGTTGCCCAGAAAGGATACAGTTTGCTCGAGCCAAGAGGTATGACATTGTCTAGACCAGGACATGCCCTCTAGACAATTTCTTCCAGCAACCATTCCTTCCAGGAGAGTGGGCAAACTTAGAAAAGATGGCAAACTAAGAATGACTCCTTACTGTGGCAAATGGGATATAGGCTAAATATAGCTAATTTAAAAATCTGGATCTGTTGCTTCCTAGTTAGGTGACCTTGGGGGAAGTCATACAATGCATTCAATGGCTATGTTTGCAAATGAACACAATTGCATCTGTCTAATAAGATTGATGTGAGGATTGACTAAAGTGTATTTCATGTGAATCAAAGTACTTATTAGAGTAGGATCCTTTTGGATGCAAGCAACAGAAATCCCCCTTCCTGTTCATATCCAGGAGATAGAACAGCTTTCTTCCCACAACCATTCAACAAAAGTCGGAGCTTTGTTCTGATTGGGCTGATCCTGGATGCCATGCTCTGATTGCTTTGAACCTGCCCATTCTGGCACCTCTCATTGTGACAAGAAAACAGAGATTATCCTGATTGGTTTAGAGTCTGAACTTTAGGCCAATTAGAGCTTTCCATTCAAATTTTGTGATGGAGTGTTGAATATGGATGTTGGGGAAGCAACCATGTCTACTAGATGAAAGATGAATTAGGTGCTCAATAAATTTAGTTTCTTGTTCCCCATTTTTTGTGCATCTCTTTCCCCTAGAAATGGGGAAAGAGTTTGCATATGAAGGATAATCCATGAGGACCTGGGAACCCCACTTTTCCAATATGAAACAGATTTCAAACATGAGGTTTTAACAGATGAGTTGGACAATCACTCAGTTATCCCGAATTGCCTAGACAATAGTTCTTTCCTTTATTCTAAAGTGGATAGCAAATTATGGACTGAGAAAACTGAAGCTGGAGCTCTCCAGGTACATGGGTCCCCACTGTACCCAACAGAAGTTCATGCAGAGATCAACATCGGCCAAACACTGCAGTGTCCTCCCCAGCATAGAGATCAATGTAAGGCCGAGTTTTTTTGGTTGTTGGCTTTCCTCCCACAACTCCTTGCCTCTTCTCAGGTGCAAATGGTAGATCAGGGCACCTGGCTTCTATTCCTGCTTCTAAGAGCCCCTCCCCACAAAGAGGCACTGCCCTCAACCGATAGGAGATACAGAGTCCTGTTGGAAGAAAAGTCAAGCCTCCAGCAGGTCTGAGATGACACTCTAGGATAGAGAGAGAGAATTAAAAACAAGAATCCCAGGTGCTGTGGCACATGCCTTGTAATCCCAGCTGCTGGGGAGGCTGAGGCAGGAGGATCACAAGTTCAAAGCCAGCCTCAGCAAAAGCGAGGCACTAAGCAACTCAGTGAGAACCTGTCTCTAAATAAAATAAAAAATAGGCCTGGGGATATGACTCAGCAGTCGAGTGCCCCTTAGTTCAATCCCCGGTACCAAAAACAAAACAAAAAAAGACAAGAGCATAAGGCTGTGGCTGGAGTACTCACCAAACCAATGTGGTACCCCTCTGCTGTTGCTGGCTCTGCTAGGTGGCAGCACACAGGGCTTATGACAAGAGGCAAGGGGTTCTCATCTCTGTTTTCTCTTTGGGGGAAGAGTTTTCCCATTGCTTTGACAGTGGAACAAATAAATTTAGTACAAAATGAAAATCTAATCATTTCCCTCCCAGCCCTTTTCTACCACATTTTCGAGGGAACTAAAAATAGCCTCAAAATTTGAAATTATCCACTGGAAAAATTCAGGGTTGTCCCAGAGTACCGCTCCCTCTCTCTTCAAGGTCATCCTTCAGTTTGAAGTTGATGGACTTCTCACCCCACTATTATTATAATAACTGCATGAAACCATTATCTTAATCCCCCCACTCCTCTGTAGAACCAGAAATCCAGTAGTTTAACAGAAGGAAACAAGATTTTAGACAAACAAAACTGTATGCTTGACAGATGTTTTGGGAATTGTTGATCACAACGGAACACACTGTTTTAGGGGGTGATGAGGGTAGCTGGTGGGGTGGGTATCTGATCTGTTTACCTTAATCCAGGGAGTGGTGAAGCACATTCAGTGGACGCACAGAGAGATGGAAGCATACATCTCATGCTTAGAGAAGGTGATGAGGTGCTACGTCCAGAGGCTGCAGTGGCTGCTGTCCGGTGAGCCTGGCCCCTTCCTGGGGGGTGGAGGGGCATGAAGGGAGGTGGAAGGTTCACTCCAGGGACCGCAGGATCTGTCCTTCCAAGGCCCTCACCAACTGTCAGGTCAAGGGATTAAGCCAGGAGGGTCATTCAGGTACGACATGAGTTCTGGGCTCAGAGATCAGACAAAGTGCTAGATGGCATCAGGGCAGAGGACAGGCCATAGAGCCCCAGAACACCAAAGCCAAAGAGCCAGGCTCACGTCCCAGAGGAGGGCCAGCTGGGAAGAAAGAAACCACACCAAGCATCAAGGGCAGGAGGCTAAGTAGGCAGCTAGAACCAGACAGGAGGGGATTTAGGCTTTAGGGCCTGGAGGGACCTAGAAGAAATAATAGAAGAACTGAGACTTATGTAGAGATCCTACAGGCAGCCTGTGTGGTCCACGTGGGACCCCATATAAATTCATTAGGTCCAATCCCCTGCAGCAGAACCTCCTCTAGACAGTCCCTCGGCAGCAATGTGGCAGTGACTTTACAGTTACTGCATTTGCCGGAAAATTCTCCCCCAACACTCCCACTCCTCTACAGAATCATGATCCTAGCAGTTTAACAAAAGGAAACAAGATTTTAAACAAACAAAACTGTATGCTTGACAGATGTTTGGGAATTGTTGATCACAATGGAACACACTGTTTTATTAGAGGGTGATGAGAGTGTGAGGGAATAGCTGGGGGGAGCACAGGGTCCAGTTATCACTTCAGGGCAAAGGCTGGGGTGGAGCAGAGGGAGTGGGCCTCTCCCATTCCCACCTCACAGTGACCATTGGGGTGCATGTACAGACCAGAGTCAGCGACTTCTTCTATAGCACACATCCCCTGCTTCATGCACAGGTGCACACCTGAACACTCACACTGCAGTACCTACCAGGCAGTGGGTGCTTCATTCATTCATTCAACCAATAAGTTTTTCTCCTGCTAGGTGCTGGGGAGTGGGTAGAAGGCAAATCCCAAAGTGATTCCTGAACTTATATAGCCTGTAGGAGGAGACAGATGTTCATCAAAGAACCACAAACAAGTCACAACTGTGACAGGTGTAAGAAGAGAAGGGAATTTGGCCTGCATAGGAAGGTCAAAGGAGGCTTCCCCAAGGAGGGGGTATATAGCTGAGATCTCACAGGTTAAGTGGGCAAGAAAGGAAAACACAAAGGTACTGGGCAGGAGAGAAGATGCTCAGTACAGAGACTGAAGGAAAGAAGTCAGCATGGCTGGGTGAGATCCAGGGGATGCCATCCAACAGAGACCCAGCTATGGCACAGTGTGTGTCAATTATTAAGAGCAATGGGAAGCCATTAAAAGATTTTAAATGAAGGAAAAGTGATCAGCATTTGCAATATTCCCTCTGGTTGCTGTAAAATTAATTTTTTTTTGTTGGGGGTGGTACCAAGGATTGAACCCAGGGGCCCTCAACCACGGAGCCACATCTGTAGCCCTTTTTATTTTTTATTTTGAGACAGGTCTGAGGCTAGCTTTGAACTTGTGATCCTCCGGTCTCAGTCTCCCAAGCCTCTGGGATTACAGGCACGCGCCACTACCCTCAGTTTACAAAATTCTTGAGGGAATAGAAAAGAATGAGGACGACCTAGCTGTAGCCCAGGTAGAAATTAAGGTAGCTGGCGAAGGGTAATGGTAGTGGAGATGGATAAGGAGCCAGGGTTAGATAGACCCATGGGGTAAAGACAGAATGGCTTGGTAGCTTGAGCTGCTTCCACTCTCTGGTTCCTAAGGGGATCAGCCGGCCATTTGTGGGGGGAGGTCCCTCATGGGTTGACCAACTGACTCGATGTCCTCAAGGCACCCCCTTCTCCCCTCTTCTCCCTCTGACATGAGCATTGCCAGAGAACATCCAGATGAGTCCCGGAGGCTCCAGGGCACCAGGTCCAGCCGCCCTGTCCACCTTTTCCTGGAGAACAGCTGGTCTATTTTGTAGCAGTTTGTCAGTTTCTCCTGCGGCTCCAGTGAGGTCCCAGAGGCATGTTTGAGAATGCTGGGCACCTTGTCTGCTTGTTGGGTCCCCTTGTGTCCCCTCCATTTAGCCTTGTGGAGATGCAAGGGCTAGGGTTAGAGGTCGAAGTGTAGACAAGAGGAGATGAAACCGGCTCAGCTGCAGCGGGCTGGGTGATCCTGGGCCTTGGTTCCCATTGGGCTGAACCCAAACCCATGGACAACCTCTCTGCTCTCTCTCTCGTCCCCCTCCCCAGAGGTGTCTCCATCCCACCTTGCTTTGCTCCTGGTTTTGGCTTTCTGCTCCTCAGATGCTTGCGCATGCCCTGCCCGTCTCTCTATCCCTGGGCCTTCCACAGCCTTCTCTCTCTACCTGTCAGGGTCCACACCCTCCACGGTCAACTGCTGCACATTCTCTGCTCCCTACCCTACTCCACCTGATTTCAGTTCTTTCTATGACATGCTCCCCTGACAGTCCTCTGTCACAACAGAGTTGTAATTGCTCAACATCTGTCTTCCTTCACTGACTGTAAGCTCCACGAGGACATGGTCCCTCTCTTGTCAACTTTGCACTGTGCTGGGTTTTTTTTCTATTGACCAGTTGAATGGCCACGTGGTCTCCAGCATCTTTTCCAGCCCCAGACAATACTGTGACACTATTTTACCCAATCTCATAATTTTAGGGATGTGTAATAAGCTCTGGGACATTATGATCATTTTGATGAGTTATCACAGGCAAAGCCAGAGCTGAAATCTTGATCTTCCAAAGCCCAGATCACGGACTGGCTCTGTGCTTGAACAGATGGCTCTGACCCAGCCAATAACCCCACAAGTTCATCTCCCAATGGAGGGACTTGAGACCACTTATCAGGCAGGCAATGGTTTTGCAGGACTTTCACTTGATTGATAGAGTGAGGAAAACCACCCAGGAGGTGAGACAACCCCCCTCAGTCCTTCCCTGCCTGAGCCCCACTCATCTCTGGGCAGGAAGCCGCCGACTGTTTGGCACCATCTTGGAGAGCAAAGTGTGTGTCCTGTTGGACACATCGGGGTCCATGGGCCCCTACCTGCAGCAGATGAAGACAGAGCTGATTCTCCTGATTTGGGAGCAGCTGCGGAAGCACTGTGTCAGGTGGGAAGCAGGACTGTGGGTGGCAAGGGCTCTGGAAGGTGAAAGGGGGGTTCCTAGGGCCTCCCTGCCTACCCACACACCCTCCTCAGTTCCAACAGTCCTGGAGGTTCTGGAAGGTCTTTCTAAGTAGCTTACCAGACAGGAAAGAGTACTATTCTGTTCTGCTGCAGAAAGAAAGCAACTTTTAGGATCTCATCTCAGGCCCAGGACAGTGGCAAGCATAGTCAAAATCACCATCATGTGGCCTTGAACTATGATTTTCAGCTGAACTTGATTTTTTTTTTCCTTTGTGGTTTTAGGGATTGAACCCAGGGCCTCGTTCTTGCTAGGCAAGCACTCTACCACTGAGCTACCCTCCCAGACCTTGAACTCTATTTTTAAGTGTGAGGAATTGTTTGTTCTCTCTGCCCAGAAGAGTTGACCTTGAAGGGACAGCAAGAGACTCTGGTCCTAGGCTGGAACTCATTCATGCCTTACTATTAATAAGAGTAAACATTCATCAATCACTTTTTTTGTGTGTGTGTGGGCCAGGTACTTTAAGTTCATGATTTTGTCAGTTCTCACAATGACCTTACACAAAGGTCATTGTAAGAAAAGGAAACTAGGACTCAGAGAGTTTAAGTAGTTTGCCCAAGATTGCAACCCTTGGGTGACTGAGCTGGGATTTAAAACAATTCCTATCTTCATCTAGAATCTTCAGTCTATGGACGATCATTCTCAGGGGGCCCACAGCCCATTTGTAGGGGTCTTCAGTGAACACCTCGCATTGGAGGTGACTCCCCTGGAACTCCGCATGGACTGGCCTGTGCTCACGCATCTCTCTCTCCTCTCTCTGGTCTCCATCTCTTCTTTTCTCCTCCTCAGTTTCAACCTGCTCAGTTTTGCAGAGGGCCTACAGCCATGGCAGGACACTCTGGTGGAGACCACAGATGCTGCATGTCACAAGGCTATGCAGTGGGTGACCCACCTGCAAGCTCACGGGAGTACCTCGGTCTTGCAAGCATTGATGGCAAGTGCCACCCTGGACCCTGACCCTGTGGCAAAACAGAAACTCCATCACCCACTACACTGATATTGTGCTTTGCTTTGGGGTTTACAAAGCGGCACTCTATTTTATCTTCCCAACAACTCAGACAGAAGGAGATCTTGTTCTGGCTTTGAGATGAAGACACAGAGGTTCAGAGAGGTTAAGTGACATGCTTGAGGTCAACCAGCTAGGAAATGGGCTGTGCCCTTCCTCCTAAACCTCAGCAGCTTCCTGGGTCTGTCTGAGGCTGAAGGCGGGGGGAGGGTCTCGGTTTTAATGGACATGTCATGGGCATCCATCAGACACATTTTCCTTGGGAGCAGCAGAGGCCACTGTCAGGCAAGTGTTTTTTGTCTTTTCTGGTGACAGCCTTTCTGTGGTCTGTCAGAAAGCATTCAGTTTTCAAGATGTGCAAGGATTGTACCTCCTTACCGACGGGAAGCCAGACACAAGCTGCAATTTTGTTCTGAATGCTGTCTACAGACTCCAGAAGGAGAGAGACGTGAAGGTGCACACCATTTCCTTGAACTGCACAGACAGGTGGGCAGCGAGGCCTGGGCTGAGCTGGCTGCTCTCCCAGGGCTTCATGTTGGAGGGAGGAGTTCTGAACTCCTCACCTTCTCTGGGGGCTCCCTTAGATCTCCCCTCTGTGCCTAAGCCATGGGATCTATGGCCTGCCACACACTGGAGAGATGTCCAGTAAAGAGCATGCTGGCCGTGGGCTTTGAGGGAGGCCAGGCTCAGTGGTGACAAGTGGCCACTGGTTGGGAAACTGTACTTGGTGAGGCTCACGGTGGTCCCAGAGGCACAGTCCAGGCCTGCTGCCAGGCGGCTTCCCCCTAAGCCACACACAGACTTGCGCTCTCCGGGGGCCTCAGCAGGCCTCCCCAACCTCTGCCAGCCCCCAGGCCTCTCTTCCTTCCCTAGAGCAGCGGTGGGGTTCCTGAGGAAGCTGGCTGCCCTCACTGGGGGACGCTATCACTGCCCCGTTGGTGAGGACACCCTCTGTGGGATCCGCGGCCTGCTCACCAGAGGCTTCGTAAATGAAAAGGTAAAATGCCAAGTGCAAGGTCTGTTTCAACAGCCCAGTAAGATGTCCGTGGGCCCACAAAGTTTCCTTCTCAGATCTCTGCTTCCCTTGCAAGGCAAAAGGTTGACTTGAAGGGGTTGTGTTTCCCTGCAGTTTGCCTTTTAAGCAGACACCCCTCAAGGCTGGGAGAGAAGCAGGCTGTGGGGGGAGTTATTAGGAATAAGTCAGTTTACGTTTGCTGAGCACTTACTATGTGTAGGTATATTGCTTTCTATAGCTTATCTCTATTAATTATATTAATTACTTAATATTAATACCCACTTAGATGAGCCCCAAACTACTGTTACACCCACCTATATGAACCGACAGGCTCAGTCAGCTCTTCAGAGGAAGTCGGAGGAAGGGGTGAAGTTGGAGCCCAAGACACCTTGCTCTCAGCCTCTGTGTTTAATTCCTGTGGCTCTGTCTTCTGGTGCACAGTTCATTGAAACACAGACAGCTGTTCAGCAAGAGATCTAGTGAAGTCATAGATTATCTACTAAGTGACAAATTACTGAGTTGAGTTCCAGTAGTCCTCTTCCAATTTGATAGAAAAGTGGCAAACTTATCTAAATCTTTTAAGGAACGTGGTGTTGTTGCTGATAACCTTTCAGCAGAGGGTGAGGGAGAGGGGATGGAAATTAAGTAAAACCACCAATCAGAAGTTAAAATCTCTTTTTAGAGATTAAAGGTTACTTTCCCAGAACACTACATAATTTCCAAAGTTTGGGTGACCTCACATGAGTCCTTCGTTTAGGTGATTCTTCTAGGGGCAGATATGACAAATAATACCCAGGACAGGACAAGTTGGTAAAAGTAATGAATATTCACCCAGGGGTCTATGTCACATAGGAAAATGATTGACAGGATCGAGCAAGTTCTCAGTGAATAATTTCTGCTCAGAGTGAGAGTCCTCTGCCACTACTGCCAGGCAAGGGGACAGCTTTGTGTCTCTCTTAGACCTTGTTAATTGTGAGACAGTGTGTTTTAGGGCTAGGCTCTCTGGAATTTCAGTTACTACCATTTTTTAAAGCATGGCTGTGAAGCTCTGTTTTACCAGGAGAAATGGGGAGAGAGCCAAAGAAATTTTACTGGATGATCAGCAGTGAGACAAACACTATATACCCATTCTGTCCCCTGGGTCCAGAAAAGCACCTCACTGAGGTTCAGAGACCTCCTTGGCTTACCACCCCCCTACCCCCCACCTCTCAGACATCTTATTTCAAGGTGTCCCGTGTGCAGAATAACTGTCCTGGTAGATGGTGAGCTTCCTGTCCTGGGAGACATACAAGCTGAGGCCCACAGGATTTCCTGCCCGGGGCGGAGGCTGCATTTCATTTGCTCTAAACGTCTGCTGAGATTTTGTGTCTTCAGGTCCCATCTAGTCATTTCAGTGGATCAAACTTCACACTCATTTCTCCTTTCCAAGGATCCTACCTTGCCACCGTTTGAAGGCGATGACTTAAGGAAACTGGCTCAGGAAGTCACCAAGGCCAGAGGTTTTCTCAAGCAAGCTCAGGCCCTCAGGTATGCCCTTCAGATCAGCCCCAGGGCCTGGGTGGGCTGGACCCCAATAAGATATGACCCAACTCTGGTCATGGCACCCTTACTGTAAGACCTCCTGCCTGGCTTTTCCCCACCAGGCCCAGAAATCTGGGCAGGAGGGAAACCATTTTCCTTCATCTCCTGCCCATGCAGATCCCAATTCCAGAAGAAAAGCAATATGGAACCGGAGATCACTCTTTGTTAGAGAAGGAGTCTCAGGTAAGGGAAGGGGACAGATTGCCCACTAGAGGCCAGGCAGCCCGCTCTGTAGACAGTTGTCCTTATGGGCAAGGAGCAGAAACAGATTCCTGTGCATGGAAAGTCCTGGACCCACAATTCCAGGCACCAGGACCCCCTGGAAGCTGGGGAAGGGAAGGCTCGGTTCTTTGTACATGGGGCCACCCCTAGGGCTACCCTCACTCTCCTGCCCTGTCCCCTAACACACCCTACACTCCAGCTATAAGGCTGTCGCTCCCTGGGAAGCCCTGCATCGAGCCCCCTGCCTGAGATGACCTTCTCGCCACCCTCTGCCTGCTCATCCATCAAGGCATAGGTCAGATGACATCAGCTCCACTGTGGAGGTATCCCTGGGACCCATCTAGAGCTGGGAACCTCCAGGCAGAGTTGGAAGCTCCCAGCCACCCTCTGGTAGCATCCTGGCCAATGCTGCCTCTTGCTGCACTTAGCACTTCATGTTGAGGTTCTTTGCTCCATTATCTAACTCTTCTCCTCGACTGAGGCTCCCTCAGGATGAGGCTGGTGTGCTAACCATCTGTGGGTCCCCAAGCCTGCTACATGGCAGAGGCATGGTAAACAGTGAGTATCCAGCTGAGTGTGGGAGTCCAGTGCTGGAAACCAGCCAGATGGGCCTGCTTCTCCCAGCGTCTCTGGTGCTTCCCCAAACTCTGGTCACAGGCTGATGCAGATTCACTGTTAGTCCATTTGGGGGGAAGAAGAAACAGTGAGCCTCGGCGATGTCATCCCACTCAACCAAACTGACCTGAAGGCTGTTGTGGAACCCAGGCCAGATCCAATGCTCTGCTCAAGCTTGAGAAAATCAGGCTGCGTCTTCTGAGCCCAGCCCCACTCTACACATATGAAATAACTGTCTCATGTATTATTGTCATCTGGGGTCATTTTCTAAAATTAAAAACTTGCTTCTATTTCATTAAAAGGGCCAAAACAACTAACTTTTCTTCTGTCTATTGTTGTTTGTTTGTTTGTTTATTTGTTGGCAGTTACTGGGATCTCACCCAGGGTCTTGCACATGCTAGGCAAGTGCTCCACCGCTGAGCTACACCCCCAGCCTGACATTAGCTATTTGAAGTGATCATTGGTGTGAGTGTGTATGTAAAATTTTTGGTGAGATAAGACTTTATGAAAAGACTCGTATCCAGAACATATAAAGAAACTCAAATCAATAAGATAAATGGCCTAATATTTAAAAATGGACAAAAGACTCAAGCAAGCACCAATGAACCATAGGTATATGCAGAGGCTCTCGTTAATCTTACCTGTCATGGCAATGCAAATTAAAACCACAGTGAGATGCCATTACACACCTAACAGAATGGCTGAAACCCCAAAGAAGACAACATCGAGATGTGGAGGAAGTGGGATACTCATGTATTACTGGGGTGGGGGTGGGGCAGTGTAAATTGGTTCAACCCCTTTAGAAAACTATTTGGCAATTTCTACTAAAGTAAAACACATGCTTACTCTATGACCCAGAAATTCTGCTCCGAGAAATTAAGACATACGTTTAACAAAAGACATATGCAAGAATGTTGATAGTAGCCTTTTTATAAGATCCCCAAATTGGGGGCCTAGGCTGTAGCTCAGGTGTAAAGTGCTTGCCTTGGACGTGTGAGGCACTGGGTTCAATCCTCAGCACCACAGAAAAGTAAATAAAGATACTGTGTTCATCTACAACTAAATAAATATTTTTTAAAATCCTCAAATTAGAAGTGACCCAAATGTCCATCAGTGGTAGAATTAGCAAATAAATTGTGGCATATTTGTGTGCATGTTTATCAACAGAAAGAGCATGGTATAGCTGTGTTTAGCAGGAAACACTAGTCTCGACGCCAGGAAGAAGAAACCAGATGTAAAAAGAGTCTAGTGTATCATTCCATTTTCAGGAAGTTAGAGAAGAGGCAAAACCAATGGTCGGGGTTACAAGTCAGATGAGTGCTTACCCTGCGGGGGCCACAGAAGGAACATCTGGGGAGCTGGAAATGTTCTGTATCTTGATCTGGGTAGTGATGACATTGGGATATGACTGGGATACTCATGGTTTGGATATGGCCTGAGTGTGTCCCGTAGGGGTTTGTGTGTTGAAATTTGATCCCCATTGTGAGGTATTAAGAGAGTACAAACTTAACCCACCCTGGTGTTTAGAAATGGAGCCTTTGGGAGGTGATATATGGGTGCGCGTGCATAAAAATGTGTCAAGTTATTTAAAAACACTCAGTTTACCAAGTCTTGACAAGCTCCTGCTTTGGCTAGGCTCTGTGCTGTGCTCAGCAAGACAGTGGTGACCACAGCCCCTGCTGCAGTGAATCTCAGTCTGGTCAGTCTTAGGATGCCATTCAGGGGCATCTTTACAAATGCAGGCTGACAGTAGCTGCGTTAGTTTGCTAGAACTGTCCTAACAGAGGACCACAAACAGAATGGCTGAAACAACAGAAATGTATTGCCTCCAGTCCAAGATCAAGGTAATAGCAGAGCCACATCCCCACCCTGAAGGCAGCTTCTCACTTCTAATGGTTCTGGCTCATGGCCACTGAGCTCCAGGCTTCACAGGAGGCTCCCCCGTGTGCATGTCCATGCCCAATTTTCCCTCTTATTAGGACACCAATCATATTGAACAGGAGCCTCCCTACACCTACACCTCCCTCCCTACACGACCTCATCTTAATTAATTACATCTGCAGCGACTCTATTTCCACATTCTGAGGTGCTAGGGTTGGGATTTGAGCATATGAATTTTGCAGGAGACACAATTCAACCCACGACAGCTGTGATGTTAGCAATGCTTCCCTTTGCAAGGCAACACCGGCAGCCGTCACCAGGGAAGATGAATTCTCTGGTCCTTCTGGTGAGAGAGGAAGAGGCTGGTCTTTATACTTGGAAAGATGCACCAGAAACAGGCTTGGGAAGTGGATAAGCAGAGGAACTGGGTTTGCTTCCCAGTCTCAGAGAGGACAACAGTTGCCATTGGTAGACCATCAACTGGTCAGGCACTGGTGCTGGGAATGTTGCATGTTCTCTACCACGTAAGCCACAGGCTCATAAGGTCACATCTATAAAACACATGCCATCTCCAGTTTGTGGACAAGGAAATTAAGCTTCATAGCTGTCCAAAGACACAAAAACAATGGCAAAGTCAAGATTTAAATACCCCGTGGCCTGTACCCAACACACACTCAGCTCCTTGCTGAGTTTGCTTCCTAAAATTGTACTAAAACAGAGTTATCAGGACTAACAGACACCTTACCATCTGGCAGGTAGATTGAGTGAGCTGAGGTTTTGCTTTTCTCTTCCCACACCTGTGCCCACAGAGCAGGTTCATATGGTGGAGATTTTTCAATCACATTTTTCAGACCAAAGTGACCACAGCTCTCAGACGCTGTCGCTGTGAACTCAGTACATTCCTGCCCCTCTGCGGCTACCACTGAAATATGAATTTTCCCGGGATGATGGAACCATCTGGGTCCCCCATGCAGGGGAAAGGGCAGCACTAAGGAAATAACCATTAAAAGTGAAATAATGGGGGAGCAGCTGGGGATGTAGCTCAGTACAGAGCGCTTGCTAGCACGCATAGGGTACTGAGTTCGATCCTCAGCACCACACGAAAATAAACAAAAGTATCGTGCCCATCTACAACTAAAAACAAAAATTGTTTTAAAATGAAACAACAGAATTGGTGAATGGATGAACACAGTGATGGGTGGAAGAATGCAAGAAAGGAAGTGTAGATGTATGGGCGGAAAGAAAAAGATGTGGAATGAATTGGGTGGATGGAAGGTTGACTGGATAGGTGGATGGATGGGTAGACGGAGGGTTGGACGGAAGGATGAGTGGATGAATGGAAGATTGGTAGAGGGAAGGACTAAAGACAAGTTGGATTTGTGAATGGGTGGAAGCTTGGACAGGTGCAAAGACAGATGGAAAGACAGACACAGATGAATGGATGGGCAAAAAGGTTAGTAAACTGGGTAGACGTCTGGAGGGAGAGATGGGAAAATGGTGAGATGAGGAACAGAAGGAAGGAAGGAGGGAGAGCAGGCTGAACAAAGAGGGACATTGGGAGAGAATAGATGGTTGGTGGAGAAGAAAAGCCATTTCGTGGGGTTCGGGTGTGCGGGGGGACTGTGCAGGCAGGACAGAGCTGGGCACGCAGCTCCTATGCGTCCTTTCGCCACCAGAAGCGCGGGCCACTAGAGCCCGCTGGTCTGGCGGGAGCCTGCGGGGCGCAGCCTTGGAGGGCGCAGGTGCTCCCGCGGGGCGGGGCGGAGGGAGCAAGTGGGCGGTCCCCGCGCCCAGCCCCGCCCTCTGGGACCAAGTGCTGCCCTGGCCGCGCCGGGCTTGGCGCGGAGACCTGAGCAGGGAGCACGCAGCGCAGCGGGAACCCGGGCCAGGTGAGACGGTGCGGGCTGGGGAGGAAGAGGGAGAGAATGCGCCCCAGGCTGCCTCCTTAGGCCACCAGGAGGGCGACACGCGCTGGGACGGACTCTCCCCTGCCCTAATTTAGCCAAACCTAACTTTTGGGTCCCTTGGACCTGGATTCCAGCTGAGACATTTGCTGTATCTCATCAGAGTTCCCTAGTGTTCGCTGGGTCTCAGTTTCCTTCTCTGGACCTTGGGGTCAGTAGCCTCTACTTCCCTGCGGATTTCCAGGAGGATCACATGCAGCCGTGTCTGGGGGGGGTCAGCCCCGCGCTTGACCATAGCACTCCCCGACACTGGACAGGCCAGGGTGGTTTCACTTGTTCAGCAGCCGTTGACTGGAGGCCTTCGTGTCCACTGTTCTAGCTGCAAAAAACTTCATGCACCTTGTCATCTAGTGGTTTGCACAAAGCTTCGGCCTCTGTTCCCTCCGTCGGTCTATCCTGTGGGGAAGACAAAGTAGCCAGGGTAATATGGGCCCATACTTCAGCTGTAAATACCGAGGTGTAGTGAGGTTTTAAGGATCTTGCCCGAGAGCACACCCAGCAAATGAGCACTTGAAGCCAGCTTAGTGATGCACATCTGTAATCCCCTCTGCTTAAGAGGCTGAGGCAGGAGCATCCCAAGTTCAAAGGCACCCTCAGCAACTTAGCCAGGTCCTGTCTCAAAATAAAAAGGGCTGGTGGGTTAAGTGCCCCTGAATTCAATCCCTGGTACCAAAGGGGCAGGGAGAGGCCCTTGAGGCTGGTCCCGGGTTTTGCCACATAAAGTAATGTAGGGTAGGTACAGCTCTCCTCCCACAGATCCTTCCCCACCACCGAGGCCTCTAGTCCTGGGTAGTGGGGGGCTCCATTCTGGGGCTGTATCGGTTTCCTCCCTATGGGGAGGATTAGGCTCATCCTCTGGATAACCGTGATTGGAGATGTCCCAATGCCATTAAATCCATGACTGCTTCTGCTTGCATGGGGCAGGGCTGAATCCCTTACCCAGAACTTTGGCAAACGATGCAGTGACAGGAGACTCAAGATCCAGTCCCTGTATCTGTGAATCTCTGCCCTGTGACAGCACCAGCAACAACCATGGGGTTCATCAGACAGTCACTGAATGAACACCCACTCTTTCCTGCAGCCAATGTGTGCCATGCAGGGCAGAGATGTAGCTGTCTGCAGTGGTGGGGCCTGGTGCACACTAGACCTGAAGTCACAGCTTTCATAATGATTAAGGTGACCTGGTCTCTGGTCCAGCCTCATCTCCCAATGGAGCGGGAGGATGGGGTGATGATGGTGACCGTGATGGAAGCCTGACTCACTTGTAAGTCTTGAGTGAAGACTGGATCCTCAGTGCTGGTCTCTAAGGTCCTCAGACTTGACCCTGAAGACTGCAGGGGGCTCTGGAGACCGTGTGGTGTCAGCCACCTGCACTGTGGAGGTCTGGGAGAACCAGAGGCAGCAGGTGTCAGTGCAGGGGGCCATATAGTGCTTGAAATCATGCACATGTTTCCAGGGCACTGAGTCCTTCTGGATCCCATGTGGATCCTCCTCCTCCTCCTCCTCCTCCTCTTTTTCTTCCTCCTCCAGGAAGCCTTCCCATCTCCCCATTCAGAAAGCACTCACTTCCCAGTCTTCTGAGGTCCCCCTTGGTCATGACTGGATCTGTCTTCTTCTGGTTCTACATGGGAACTGGGATTTTAAGGTACTGGTAGGAAGTCAGAAATATTTGGCACAAATCTCAGTCATGTGGTGTGTGACGTTGGGCCTTGGTTTCCCTGGCCACAAAATCCAAGGCTTTGCAGCCTTCAGCTCTCTCTGTGGGAGGGAGCAACTCCCCTGGAAGTTCCTGAGGTTCTGAAAGAGTCAGGTCCACTGGGAACCCTGAGGATCTCTGATTTCCACCTGGAGTTCTCCTCCCTCCTTAGGGGTCTGATAACCTGTGTGTCCTGAGACCGTTCTAGAATGTTCTTTCTTCTGTTCTTCTCCACAGGTAGACCACTTCTGGGTCTGCATGGCTCCGTAAAGGATGAAGCCCAACCCCACAGGCTCCTCCCCAGAGACCTGCAAAGCTGCAGGCCGCGGCGAGAAGACCTGCCCTGTCTGCCAGGCCAGGGGAGGGGTCTCAGGTCCAGGGCCTGGCGTAGGGTCTGGTTCAGGGCTTGGAGCAGGACCCAGTGCTGTTGTAGGGCCTGGACCAGGGCCTGGTGTGGTTCTAGGGCCTGGGCCAAGAGCTGGTGCTGCTCAAGGGCCCAGTGTGGTTCCAGGACCTGGGCCGGGAGCTGGTGCTGTTCTGAGACCTGGCCCAGGAACTGGGTCAGGACCTGGGCCAGGAGCTGCATCATCACCAGGGACTGGGCCCCGACGGGGGTCAACAACCCCAGCACCAGCACCACAGCCGAAGACTCAGTCCAAACCCACTCAGGCACCCAGGCAGAAGGTTCTGGTGACAGGAGGAGGAGGCTACCTGGGCTTTAGCCTGGGTTCCAGCCTGGCTAAGAGTGGCACTTCTGTCATCCTGCTTGATCTACGCAGACCCCAGTGGGAACTGCCCCCAAGGACTGAGTTCATCCAGGTGCAAGGACGGGGTTCTCGGGGGACCTGTGATGGTGGTGGTGGGAACACTGTCTGTTGTGAAACCAGGGTTGGGTTTGAGGTCACAGGCCCTGGAGCCAGACCGTCTGAACTCCTGCTCCACCTCTTACCTCCCAGCTGGGCAGCGGTGGTCACAAGGCTCCACATCCCTGAACCTTGGTGTCCTCATCAACAGAAAGGGGACAGTAATAATATCTATTTCACAAGGGTCTCAGGGGGTTGATGAGATAGTGCATGAGAAATGCCCAGCGCAGCCCCTGGGACCCTGATGAATGGGGACCAGAGATAAAGAGGGTGAACTGTGGAGTCAGGTAGTAAACCCTGCCCCACAGCCTTTCCTGACCCTGAAGATGCTTGGCCAGGGCTGGGCCAGGGGCGAGCTCTGGGACCTGGAAATATGCAGAGTTATTATTTCAGTTGGCCTTGGACTTGAACCTCCTACCCCTACTCCTTCTTCTGTTTTAGGCTGATGTCCGAGATGAGGAAGCCCTGAACCGGGCCTTGGAAGGGGTGGACTGTGTCTTCCACGTGGCCTCCTATGGAATGTCTGGTGCTGAGAGGGTGAGGCCCTGTCATTCATACCTGGGGTTAGACAGAGTGGGGTTCCAGTCTTGCTCTGCCCTTCAGACCCACTGGTGCCCATGTATACCTGTAGCCTGTCACCTCCTCCAGGAAGGATTTGGGTATTCCCAGCCTGCATTCTACATCCACCACACCGAATACTAGTTCTGCCACTTTCTAGCTATGTGACCTAGAGGAAGTTAACCTCTCTGAGCCTCTCTTTGCTCACCTGGAAAGTAAGGACATTACTACTACTTATGTTACAACCCATGTGACAGTATCTACCAAAACACACATACACCCTTTAATCAGAAATTATACTTATTTGTATATGGATGACATTGCTTTTAATAACGAAACGCTGGAGATAACCTAAATGCCCATCAGTTGGGGACTATTTCAATAAATAGTCTTCGGGCTGGGGTTGTAGTACAGTATTAGAGCACTTGCCTAGCACATGTGAGGCATTGGCTTTGATTCTCATCACCGCATTTAAATAAATAAAATAAAGGTCCATTGACAACTAAAAAATATTTTTTAAAAGTATCTATTAAATAAATAAATAAACTGTTTTGAATTCACACAGTGAAATTCCTCACAGCCATTAGAAAAAAATGAGGTGATTCAGAATGTGTTCATAGCAGAACAATCTCCAAGGTGCAAAACAGTGTTTGATATCTTGTTGGCTTTTTAAAAAAAAAATGCTAGGATAAATGTTTATTTAAAGGCACAGGCATATATGCTGATATTTAAACAAAGATTGTAAACATACACAAAATTATTAACAACAGTTACCTCTGGAGAGGGGAAAGGAAGACTTGGAATCAGGAATGGGAGAAAACTTCCTCTTCATTATACTGCTTGAAGTATCTTTGTTGCTTTTTTTTTTTTTTACAGAGCTGGGATAGAACTCAGAGCCTCACACATAATAGGCAATTCCACTGAGCCACACCCCCAGCCCCTGTTTGAATTTTTTGAGGGGACTGAGGATACTGGGGATTGAACTCAAGGGCACTTGGCCACTGAGCCCCATCCCCAGCCCCTATTTTGTATTTTATTTAGAGTCAGGGTCTCAAACTGAGTTGCTTTAGTGCCTCACTGTTGCTGGGGCTGGCTTTGAACTTGCGATCTCCTGCCTCAGCCTCCTGCATCACTGGGATTACAGGCGTACACCACCGGGCCCAGCTAAGAATAAAAATAGTCTTGAAATAAATATGGAACCCACCTCTTGATGGTTTTATAAGGATTAAATAAGATTGAGGATTGTAGACTCTTGCCCTGTCCCTGGGGCCTAGGGAGCTGCTATGCAGAGCTTGTTCTGGGTGTTTCCACCCCAGTGTAACTACGGTGGACAGTATTCCTATGTCATCTTACAGAGAAGGAAACTGAGACTTTGGAAGCACAAAAAGGATCCAGCATATTTTGAGTCACTCTTTTGTGGCCAGCCCTCTGCCAGCCACCACCCCTTGCCAAGGATCTTACTTAATCCCGGTGACCACTGAAGGGTCAACCCTCACTTTACAGACGAGAGAGCTGAGGGTCAAATGGGGACAGAACCTCCCCCTAGCCATCAGGGAAGTGGTGCAGATCTGGGCACCCACACCCCCGTGGGCCTCCCAGGACCCCTGCCCACAGTGGTGGGGTGCCCGCCGGGCTTTCTACCGCCCCTCTCTCCTGCTTGACCCTAAGGTCAGCCTCTGGCCTCAGGGACAAGACAGGGGACAGTACCATGACTTCCCACCCCTGTCTTGTCTTTTAGCTGCAAAAAGAACAGATTGAATCTATAAATGTCGGAGGCACCAAACTATTGATCGATGGTAGGCTGTGTGCCAACTGTGCTCTCCTTCCCTCCCACCCCTGCCACAGGCCCAGCTGCGGGGGACAGGGTCGGGGGACAGAGGCATTACCCTCCCTGCCTGGCCCTGCCTGCCCAGCGAGGGCCTGTGGACAGCACGTCCTTCCTGTGTGCAGACCTTTCGGGGCCCTGCATGGGAATGTCAATGTGGCAGGGAACATGGGGGCGGGGGAGGGCCATGAGACAAGTCGCTGAATCCCCTAATGGAAGACCCACACCTGAGCCCTGGGGGCCTGTCCTGCACCTTGACTTTCTCTCTCATTCTGGAGTGTCTTTTTTTTTTCTCTGTCCTCACTGAGTGAGACTTTCATCTGACCTGTCCCTGGCAAGGTGGCTCAGGGGCCAAAGCCACACTGGAAGGAAGTGGGCCTGGCACCCAAGGGCCCATGGAGCAAGGCTTCAACCCACCCCAAGTTGGGGGAGACCTTCCCTCCTGAGCTGCTCTGGATTATGGGAGGGTCTGGGGGTCAGGGTGTGTGTTGAAGACAGGGAAGAGACCAGAGGATTTGCCTGTGGGTGTGCTCACACTCAGCCCCGGGTGCGCACGTGTCAATCACTGCAGTCTGTGTCCGCCGGAGGGTTCCAAGGCTCATCTACACCAGCACCGTCAACGTGGCATTCGGCGGGAAACCCATAGAGCAGGGCCATGAGGACTCAGTGCCATACTTCCCCCTGGACCAGGTATTGACCTCCAGAAGGGGTGGGTGGGACCAGAGTGTGTCCCAGCAGGAAGGGATACCCAAAACTGGGTGGCACAGGCCTGATCCTATTTTAGCTTGTCAAGTTGAAGGGGTTGTGAAAGTCCTCTGGCCTTGAGCCCCAGCTCCTTTCGACCTGTGTGACCCTGAGCAAGTGGCTTCACCACTCTGAACTGTTTCTTCATCTGACGATGATTACCAGGGGGTCATGGAAGGCAGGAAATGAGATAATGAGTGTGAAAACATCACGGGAACACTAAAGGATAACATAAGTAACTCCTCCAGTGAGTGACCAGCACCAGTGAGTGGCACAGGGCAGACATAGGGAGCTGGCAGGAGCCTCCCTGAGTCAAGGTGCCCTGGTTGTCTTACTGCCTTGCATCCAGTGCACTTCTGTTCCTGTGACTCTGGAAGGAGATGCCCTGTCCTCCCACCCAGAGGGAGAGAGAGGCAGTGGGGCTCAGGGGTTGGCCATCTCCCAGATCCACACCTTCCCATTTGAAAGGCAAGGTGTAGCCTTGGGCTGGGCCAGGCTGGCCGGACATTGCCAGCAGCGTTGCTGACCCCTATCTTGTGGCTCTGTTCTCCTTGTCCCCGCCGGCAGCACATAGACCACTACTCCCGAACCAAAGCCATCGCTGACCAGTTGACCCTCATGGCCAACGGGACTCCTCTCCCAGGTGAGCACCAGGGGCCTTCTCTGAAATGCCCAGGTGATTGTGGCTTCTAGCTGACACGTGTCTGGACCTGCCTTCCTTCCAAGGGACAATCCCCAGGGTTTTGGCTTTTCATCATTCAGAGCATCCTAAGCACCTGCTATGTTTCACCTGCAGCAAGGCAGTCTCAAAAGAGTCTGGTCCAGCCTCTGCCCATCTGGTGGGGAAGAGGCTGGGGCTCACCCAAGGTTGAGGTCTCTTTCTTGTCTCATAGGAGTGGATCCAGGTGTAGGGATCCTCTTTAGATAAAAGGGTACAACAAATTAAATATAGAATGAGCTGAGCCCTGTAGAAGGGTGGTACAAACTAAGAACCTGAAAGTCTAACCTTCAATAGCTTTCCAGAAAAATCTGCCTCTGCTACCTCACTGCATTCTCTCTTCTGGTTATAGAGAAATAATAACAGAATGTGAACAGTGCTTACTACACACCAGGTCCTCTATTGCATGCTAATCTTATATGCAAAAAGCTCTGAAAGCTTTCTGAAATTCAGAAACAAAAGAGAATCAGATGACTTGGTTTCCCTTTATGATCAAAATCATCTAAACTTGGGAGCCAAGCCGGTGTAGAGAGCAAGGGATATTTGAAATCATTAGTCCCAGTTTACAGGTGAGAAGAACTGAGACCGAATAACTGGCTTAACTCAAGGTCACACCATTGTGAAGTTGTTGAGGTGGAATTTGAACCCCAGGGGAGTCTCTGCCAGAGCGTGGAGTTTAACCACTATGCTGCACATTAGGCACAGAAGAGCAGGTCTCTAATGCACGGGCATGTTTTTCTAAAATGTTCCCCAGCCCCTGTTACCCTGGGCCAGCCAGGAGTCCACCTCTGATCCCAGTGGAAACACCCCTTGTGGTTGAATTCTCTTCTCTACCTGGGGCCTCCCTACTCCAACCACAGCCTGCATGCCAGACACCTAATCCTCCGGCTGAGAATAATTTATATGAGCATCCACAGCTTTCCATGGTCAGGAGAGTCATGGATACCCTGGGCCTGGCCCCTCTGTGACGTGGCTGCCCAGTGCCCCACTGGCCACTGTCAGATGCAACCTGACCTCCCTCCACCAAGCCCCAGGGACCCAGAGTTTAAACTTAGCTGCAGGTTGTTTACAGGGCAGCTCACCTGACACCTGCCTTCCAGGAGTCCAGCCATATTCACCCCAGATGATTTGCACTTCCTACTACCCAAGCTGGTCGCTGGGACTGTCCCTCTAAATTGGCACAGAGGACCCTGTGACATTGACATTGATGCTGAGTCTGAGATCTAGATCCCAGCTCAGCATCAATGCAGTTGTGTCCTCCTGTCTCTGGGCATGTTAGTGTCCTATGGCTACCACAAATTTAGAGTCTTAAAACAACAGAAATTTCTTTTGTAGTCATCTGGAGGCCAAGATCCTGAAATCAAGGTGTGAGCTGGGCCACTTCCCTCTAAAGGCTCTCGGGGAGAATCCTTCCATGTCTCCTCCAGCTTCTGGTAGTCCCTGGCATTCCATGGTTTGTGGCTGCTGAATTCCTGCCCAGGTTGGACATGGTGGCACACACCTGTAATTCCAGCAACTCAGGAGCCTGAGGCAGGAGGATCGCAAGTTCAAGGCCAGCCTCAGCACCTTAGTGAGGCCCAAAGCAACTTAGTGAGAACCTGTCTCAAAAAAATAAATAAAAGAAATGAAAAGGGCTGGGTTATAGGTTAGTGGTAAAGCACCCCTGGATTCAATAGCTAGTATCAAAAGGGAAATTTTAGTTACAACAATAACTTTGAATAAACCTCACAAAACATTTTTAAAAAGAGAGAAAAATGTCCAACTCCAGCCCTGCCTCCATCTTTACCTGCCACCTCTTCTCTGAGCATCTCTCTCTCTTTTTTTTTTAAAGTTTATATGGTGCTGAGGATCGAACCCTGCCAGGGCCTTGTATATGCAAGACAAGCGCTCTACCACTGAGCTACAACCCCAGGGCCTCTGAGGATCTCTTATAAGGACTTTTGTCATTGAATTTAGGGCCCAGCTGTATAATACAGGATGATCTAAAGATCCAGATTACAACTACAAAGACCTTCTTTCCAAATAGGGTCACATTTGCAGGTTCTGGAATATGGATGTCTTTTTTTGGCGGGGAGCCACCATTTCACCTGCCATTCTGGGCCTCTTTGTCAAGTGAGGACGTTGGGGGATGTAGCAGTCAGGTGTTGAGTTGATGCAGAGACGCCAGCCCTGGCTCACGTGTGGAGAAAGGGAACTTAGGTTGAAAGAATGTGGCAAAGCTTCTAGAAAATAGATTTCCAGAAAAATGGCCAACAGGTCTTGGAAAGGACAGAGTTAGGGCAGTTCAAGGACCTGGGTGGCAGGAGCTGATGACCAGTCTCTTTAGGGTGGGCCTTCTAGGATTTGGGTCTTGGTGATAATGATGCTCAGTATTGCTTTTAGGTGAAAGAGCCCCATGGCCACCATCTAGATGGCTAGCCCCGCAAGACCTTGCAGAGAGAGTCTCCCCACAGGAGGGTGGACTGCCAGTGGTAGAGGGTGGTCTACACCAGAGAAGGCCCAGGAGGTGTAGACAGCACGGTGCTTTCCTTCCCTGATGGGATGCTCCTCCCCAATCTCCTGACCACCCACCCCTATATTCTAGGAGGGGGTATTCTTCGGACCTGTGTGCTGCGGCCCCCAGGGATCTACGGCCCTGAAGAGCAGAGGCACCTACCCCGAGTGGCGGTATGTCACCCCAGACTTCCAGGACCCCAGGCAGAGGGAGCCAGGTTGATGAGCAACACTGACGGGGCCTCCCTGTCCGTGGTCACCATATTGAGCCCGAGGCAGAGGGTCCGGAGCCTGGGACCCTCAGATGTCCATGACCCCAGCAGTTCATGGGCCCCTCAGCCTTACCAGGAGCAGAGCTGTCACGTTTGCTAGACAGGCCGAGGCGTGGGTTGGGAAGACAGAGGGGATCCTATTGCCCCCGCTCACACATGGGTCCCTGGGGGCTGGGTGGGTCATCTCACACTAGCAAGCAAGGGTCTTGCTACAGAAAACCTTCTCTGGAAAAGGCTAGGTACTGGGCATAGAGCCACAAGGTCCTGTCCTCACATTGCTCACAGCCTGGTTAGAGCGACACATACCACCATGTCTACAGCTTCAGCATGGTGAGGGCTGGGCACAGGGACATGAAAAGATGAGCCTGGCGAGGGGTCCTGGAGGGCTTCCTTGAGGGGTTAATGGGGGGAGTGGGGTGGCAGGGAGAAGGTAGACCAGGTAGAGGAGGCAGCTCAGACACACACCGAGAGATGAGAAAGGTCCTGGTCAATGTGGGAAGCACCAAGAGGTTCCTGTGGCTGAGTCTCATCTGGGAGTGGAAGGCCCTGGGGGAACAGGGGCCAGCGGAGGTGATGCTGCAGTCTGCGGTTTCAGAACGCGCCTCGGCGGGGGCCTTAGGTCTGTTTTCTGTTTTTTAAGTTGACTGGCTTCTTGGGGGATGTGAGGTCAACCCCAGTGACTCCTTCCCGCCTCCCTTCAGTTATTCATTCAACAAATATTTGTTGAATTCCTACTCTGTGCTCCTGACGGCTCTAGATTTTGAGACAGATCAGTGAACAAAGCAGAGGACTCCCGCGCTGTGGGCTTCTGTTCTCACACAAGGAGGCGGATGATAAGCCATAGTCAGCAGTAGGAGGCAAAGTCGGGGCCTGACCAGGAAGGGCTTCTTGGCCATCTGTCAGGACATCAGCTTTCAGTGACAAGCTGGACACCCAGGGATGATTCCAGCCAGGAGACACATGGTCTGCCTTGGGAATAAATGGGCCCCCCACTGTGTGGGATTAGCTGCGGGTCAGGAAGCTGTGGTCAGTGTCCAGGTGGGAGATGAGGGCAGCAGTCAGGGTCACAAATGGCCAAATCTGGGTAAATCCTAAGAGCAGGGCCACCTGGACTTGCCGATGGATCAGAGGTGGGGTGTGACAGAAGGTGGGGACATCAAAGGTGGTGCCAGGGCGGGATGTCCCCAGCTGAGTGGCATTGGCGGTGCAAGGGGCTTGGCCTGGAGCCAGACACTTGGGACCGTGGGCATCAGAAGAAATGTAAAGCCACCCCAGACTGAGTCCCTCCGTTTACTGCCCCCTCACCCTGTGCCAGAGCCACATCAAGAGGAGGCTGTTAATGTTCCGATTTGGGGACCGCAGGACACGGATGAACTGGGTCCACGTTCGCAATCTGGTGCAGGCTCACGTGCTGGCAGCAGAAGCCCTCACGGCGGCCAAGGGCTACGTGGCCGTGAGTCTCTGATGTCCCACAGGCTGCAGGCAGGGGTTCCCCAGGGTTGCTGGGTCCCCAGTGGGCATTATTACCTCTTCACAAAGATCCTGTGAGGCTGGCGTTGATTCCAAAATGACAGCCACCCAATGCATAGCATTTTGCAAATATTGTTACATTGGGTCTTCACAGCAGCCCAAGAGGGAGATTTCATTAGTTTCTCCTTGTTTCTCAGGTAAACTAAGGTACAGAGAGGTTAGGTGACTGCATTGGGATCCCACAGTATGGTGGCCCCAGAATTCACAGGCAGTGGCTCAGGTCTGTCCCTGGGCCTGGGGGGCTGCTCAAGATAATGAGGGGATTAGAGCAGCTGCTGAGAGCCATTGGAAAGGGAGGGGTCAGCAGACAGGCAGATGCCTGACTGTCCCCCGTCCCTGTGTCCCCCTCAGAGCGGGCAGGCCTACTACATCAATGACGGGGAAAGCGTCAACCTCTTTGAGTGGATGGCACCCCTGGTAGGTATCAAGCACCACCCGCTCCCGGGATGAGGACCTGCAATCCTGCTGTCTCTCCCTGTCATCTCTCCTGCTTCCAAAAAATCAGATTTCATATTACAAACCAGCTCTGGCAACACGGTCCCCTGCGCGAGATGGGAACTGGCTGCAGCTGAGCTGTGGCTGCCCCTGGGTAAGGCCATGTATTTACCCAGCTTGTCACAGCTCCTTCCTGACTTGCCTCCTGATTCACGTTGGCTTCGAGCCCTGTGGAGTTTTATATTTTGTGATGCTGGGGATGACACAAAAGCAGGGGCCTTGCACAGGCTAGGTAAGTGCTCTGCCACTGAGCCACACCCACAGCCCTTTTTAATATTTTATTTAGAGACAGGGTCTCACTAAATTGCTTAGGGCCTCACTAAGTTGCTGAAGCTGGCCTTGAACTTGCGATCTTCCAGCTTCTGTGATTACAGACGTGTGCCACTGGGCCTAGCTCATTCCATTTTATTGCCAAAATACTGCATTCTGTGGCTAGACCCCATGCTGTTTTGGCCATTCATCAGTTGATAGAGATTTGGGTTCCTCCACTTTTGAGCTGTTATGAATAGAACAAAGAACATTGATGTATGCATTTTTATTAGGTTTTGTTTTGTTTTCATACATACCTAGGAATGGATCTGCCAGGTTATATGGAAACTCTATGTTTAGCCTTTTGTAGAGGAGCTGCCAGGTGGGTTTCCAAAGTGGCCACATTATTTTCCATCTCTCCAACAGCGTAAGAGGGCTCCGATTTCTCTGCATCCTGCTCGCCTTGTTTTGGTCTCTCTGACTTGGAGAGTTATTACACAATTCATCCTGGGGCAGCCAGGATGGCTGTCCTGGAGATTTCATTAGATTTTAGTAGATCCTTCAGAACTGTCCTGCCATCTTCCCCACATTTACTGGGTCCACCCCCACCCCCACCCCCACTTTAACAGATAAATCAATTCTAGAAAAATCGATTTTACTTCAGTACCTGGGAGTGTCTTCAGGCGTGGGCAGATGTAAATAATGATTAAATAATGTGAATGAGCCCAGGTTCAAACTCATCCCATGCATTCAACTCCTGCCATGAGTCGTCTAGACCAAGGAGAGATTTCATTTCAAGACTGGTGCAGGCATGGGGCTGGCTGCGGGTTGGTGGGGTGTTCTGCGGGCCCCAGGGTAGGAGGAGCAGGTGGACAACCTATCTCATCTCAGGCCATGTTCCCTTGCAGTTTGAGAAGCTGGGGTACCACCAGCCATGGATCCAGGTGCCTACTTCCTGGGTTTACCTGGCAGGTAAGGAGAGGAGAGTGTGTGAAGGCCTCCATGTGCCAGGTGTACGTGCGAGTGCTTTACCTTATTTGAAATTCAGGACCAAGACTAAGATAAGGGAGTGTGGTGTGGAGGTATCAAGGGCCCAAAACTTAAAGAGGCCGTGCAGGTGAGCCAAGCCCTACCCTGCCCTTGAACATGTGGGGCCTCTAATGTAGACTCCAAAGGCACCTCACTTCCCTCACCACGGGCCTGGGCCTGTTTACACTCTAACCCACTTGCAAGGCCTAGGCACGGCTGCCTCCCTACAGCTGGGGAGACACACCAGACAAGGGGAGAGGGAGCCCTGGAGTTGCCCTCTCCCCAAGGTCACCTTGAAGTTAGGGTTGCTTTGGGACACATGGAACTTCCTTTTGACCCTAGATTCTCCTGCTTATCCTGAAGGTCAGCCCCTGCTCCCACGCCCCTCTCCACAGTGTCCTGGCTTCTGTCCTCCGTCCCACCCCCAGTGCCCTTTGCTGGCCTCTTTCCAGCTAGAATGTAGAGCAGACATCGGGCACGGAGTGATCAGCCCCAGGGGACAGGTAGCCCTCAAGTCACAAATGGCTGTGGTCCTGACCCACCTTTGGCGGAATCTGCTATATTTTAAATGCACCACATTTGCAAATGTGCCCTCCTGGGCACACCCACACACAGGGTGACTTCTCATGTGCAGTGTTGCCACCGTGATTGACACTGCTGACCGCCCCCCTGGGACTCTGAACAGAAAAATACTCCAGGCAAACCTTAGACCAGTGATGTCAGGATCAGCGGGAAGCAGGCGGGAGGGAAGTGGCAGTATTTCTTTTTTTGTGTTTGTGCCAGGGATTGAACCCAGGGATGCTCAACCCAGAGCCACATCCCCAGCCCATAGCAGTACTTCTTAAAGTGGCCCACTGCACTGCTCTCAAGAGAATAGGAGAGCAATTCTAGAGATGACTTCAAGTCGGCTCACATTTACCTAAAACCTCTTTTTTTTTTCAATTTTTTTTTAAGTTGTAGATGGACACAACATATTTATTTATTTATTTATTTTTAAGTGATGCTGAGGATCAAACTCAGTGCCCCACCTGTGCGAGGTGAGCGCTCTACCACTGAGCCCCAGCCCCAGCCCCAAACCTCTGTCTTTAATATTACTGCCATAGCAGGTTATTTGTGACTCGGTTCCCAGCTACGAAGGTACCCCAGCATGTGCTGCTAATTGAAAGGAATCCAATGACTTTTGCAAAAGGGACCCTGAGCAAAGCAAATAATGTCCCCCATTGATAGGTCTCTGAGGGCCTCCTGAAGTTTGCACTGAGGGAGGCCCTTGTCCCTGGCCCCTCTCCCCACAGCCACCGTGATGGAGTTCCTGCACCTGATCCTTCGGCCCGTCTGCAGTGTACCCCCTCTGCTCACTCGCAGTGAGGTAAGTGGGCTGCTAACAGGGAAGACCCTGGCCCTGAACCCCCTCTTCCCCCGCCCCGCCCCTGCACATCCCTACTGCCGCCTCACCCCTGGACAGCATAGCTGGATACTTAGCTAAGGTCTCAGAACCTTCTGTTTAGTCCCAGGTTTGGTCCAGGACTTTTATAATCATCCCAGTCACAGCTTTGGTTGTGCCCTCCTGGTGCAAGCCAGTCCTGCATACCTTATTTCACTCATATGCAACTTAGCTTTCCAGACAGACTGGAGGAGCCCAAAAGCAAGCTCCATGACATTCATGCTTTTGAACACCACCAACCCCATCATCAGCTCTCAGTACATGTGCACAGGCACACATCCACAGGCACACACACACAAGACCTGGTAGGCCCAGCCTCAGTTCATGCTTACTGGATAATAAGTATAGACCTACTGTGTACAGAATACTATTCTTATAGTAATGATGATGCAGGTTGTTTGGTTTTGTCTACTACAGATTGAACTCAAGGTACTCTACCACTGAGCCACACCCCAGCCCTTTTTATTTATTTTAAGACAAGGCCTTGCTAAGTGGCCAAGGCTGAGCTAGAACTTGTGATCCTCTCACTTCTGCCTCCCTGAATTGCTGGGATTACAGGCGAGTGTCACAGCACCCAGCAAAGATACAGTTTTATATTTGCTTGGCACATATAGCTTAAAAGAGAGGCTATTTTAATTCAGATTGCAAACAGTAGCACAACAGCTGGTGTTTGGGGTTATTTGAAAAAACCCTTCAGTCCACTGTCTCCTTTGATGCTCTCTGATGCCCTGCTACATTAGGAAAGGCAAATGGTTATGCTCTCCATTCATGAGACACTGAACATCGTTAGAGAAATTAGTGGCTTGCCCAAGGTCACACCCTACTGGAATTGACTAGACTTCAGGTCTAGAGCTTTCTGACCCAGGAGGAGGGAGGAGGGAGTTACCTACCTATAATTTCTCCTTTGAGCTCTCCAGACCAGCAGAGAGAATGACAATAGTGACCATCTATTGAGTGGTAGTGAGAATGCTAGGCCCAGTCTCTGAATGCCATTTCATTTTCACTGCTGTGGTCAGTTGTAGATTCTGTTATGTCCATTTGCAGAGGAGGAAATGAGACACATAATGAAATAACCTGCCCATGCTCACTCAAATAATATCACTGGGATTCGAACCCAGACCTAAATGACTCCAGGATTCATCGCTAGCTTGCCAAGTGCATCAGGAACCACACCTGGTAGTGCAAAAGAGCTGCCAAAGTGCTAATGGATTGTGGTCAGGCAAAAACTTGGCCCCACTCCCTCCTGTCTAAATGGTAGATTTCCTTGTTCAGCTCAGGAGCCCAAGATCTCAGCTGGGGAAGTTTTTCAGCTGTGGTTTAGGCACCCTCTGCTGGCTAGTCTGTGACATACCAATCAGCTTTCCAGTTTGATTTACAGCTTTTCATTTATCATTTATTGAGCACCTACTGTGTGCCAGGTACCTAATGAGCAATGGAGGCAAGAAGATGGTCCTTACCCCCAGAGATCTCACAGTCTAAAAAGGAAGGCATCCTTATCATAAACCAGGCAACTCCACACACTGTGATGACAGCTACCAGAGAAATGATGAGGAATGCCAAGTATGCAAAAGGGACACCTAAGCCAGCTCTGAGGAAGTCAGGAATGAGGTCACATTTAAGCCTGATCTCTGAGAATATTGTGTGCCAGGGCCTGTGTTCGTTCACAGCTATATCTCTATATAATAGGTAGTCAATAAATATGTTTGGAATATTAACTCAGCTAAAAATACGCTTACATCTGCACTCCCCAAATCCCTGAACTAACTAGTGCCCAAAAGAACAAGAGCTGGCCTCTCTCCCTGTCCCATGGAAGTGTCCAAGACCAGGTGCTTGACCCCAGAGACTACTTCAATTGCCATGGGAGAATCAAGCAGCTGGTGGACCCTTCCCCAATGTCCAGCTGAGAAACAAGAGAGGAAGAAATGAGACAGGTGAGAGGGCATCTCCAAACCCAGTACGACAGGGAAGAACATGGGCTAGATAGAATGAGCTCTCCTGTGTGACCCTGGGCAAGTCATTTAAGCCCTCTGATCTTCAATTTTCAAATATGCCCAGAGGAGATGGTGCCATCTTAGAAGAGTAAATAAAATAAGGCATATAAAGGTTTGGGCCCAGGGAAGGCACATGGTATATTTCATGATAGCTGTCATTATTACTCTTGAAGACTGTGGGCCCCAGTGGCAGGGAAAATGCAGATCAGACCTTAGAGAGTGATCACTTGTGCATAATTGAATTCCTGTCTTAGGGACGCACTGCTAATTGGCTGGGAGGGATTGAACCCCTACCCGTTGGGACACTGCAGGAGCAAGACGCAGCAGCCGGGTCCTTTAAAATCTCTGTGCGCAATGCCTAAGTTCTCTTTTCCCTCTCCATAAACAACAAGGTCGAGGATGCTCGCCCTATCCACTAGCCAGGCCCCTGGCTGTCCCGCCTCTCCCGCAGGTGCTCAGCGTGGCAGTGACGCACACCTTCCAGATCGCCAAGGCCCGTGCTCAGTTGGGCTACTCTCCCGACAAGTTCAGCTTCGCCGACGCGGTGGAGCGGTACGTGCAGTCCACGACCCGGCAGCCCAGCGGCTCCACATCGCAGACGCTCCTGCGGCTGCTGCTCGGGCTGCTGCTTCTCCTGGGCCTGCTCGGCCTCGCCCTGCATTTCCTACGCCTGCAGCCAGTGCAGGCGGCGGGGAGGCGCCTCTGACCTCTCGCCCCTTTGGAGCGCCTGCTCAGTTCTGTCTGCCCGGGTTCTCGGTGCTAGTACCCTCCCCTCCTGGCCCTCGGGATTTGGACCGGCCTCTGGGTCCTGACCCCGCCCCTTGGGCATAGCCACGCCCCCATCAGCCTCCTGGGTTGTATTCGCCTCGCCCTCCGCGTTTGGGCACGCCCCCGCTCTGCCGCCTGCGCCCTAGCCACGCCCTTGACCCGCCCCCTGAGTCCTGGCCCCGCCTCTCGCTCCTCCCCCCGGCCTGGCCTAGTTTCTGAGAGTCCCAGCCTCAGCCTGCTCGGTCTTCCAGGCCTTCCTGGCCTTCCCACGCCTGCCCAGTCCCGGCCCGCCCCCCGGACACTTCCCTGCTCTGGCTCTGCCCACTTTCTGGCCTCACCCCTACGCTTGAGCCCATCCTTTGGTTTCTCCTTCTGGGACTGGATTGGCTCTTCCTCCTGTGTCCATGCCCTCCCTGTTGTAATGCGGCCCTGGCCCCGCCCACTCCCTCTGGCTCCACCCCTTTCCGGCCCCGCCTCCCGGATCGGGGGTCTGTGGGCCAGTACCTGTGGGTGGCGTCGGTGGAGTTTGCATTTCCTGCAGCCATTTCCCGGAATAGTGGATCTTCCACCCCTCTCGGGCTTCTTTGGGCATCTTCATCGATATCGTTTCGGAATCTTGGGTTAAACCCATTTTAGTAACGTTTCGTTTGATCCATTCAAACATTGTGGGTTCTCCCATTCACACAAACGAGCTGGAGCTTGGAGGGACCCAGAGACCCAGACAGGTTTCTTTCTGCCCAGCCCAACTTGGCTTTTTGGGGTTCCCGGTTTATGCTTGTGGAGATGATTCAGCATGGTAAACACAAGTTTCAATTCCAGATCGGGCAGGATAAAAGAAACTTTGTCAAGTATTGGGTGTCTCAAAAAAGTACCAATATAGTTATAATGGGGAAAACAGAGTTTAATTGGTCATATTTTACGACTTAGTATTGTTCCTATTTGTTAATGAGGGGTAGTGGTGATTGATCATTATCATCTTTAAAGGTTAAGACCACAGAATTTATTAATCCAACCCTGCTCCCCATAGAAATTGCACCTCTTATCATGTTGATATCAACTGTGGAGACCAAGATTTCAGTGTGTAAATAGATTCATGTATATGTGTACATCATAATGTGCAGACATGGAATTGACTGAGCAAACACCACGGATCGTGGCAGAAGAGAAAGCCATCACGAGCCTGTGGTGGAAGGGAAGAAATGTGCTAGTCAACGATAGCAGTCATACCAACTATGGCAGTCATCGACCATCTCAGAATGTGACTCTGATGAACAAGGAAGACAGTTTGTGAAGGAGCTTAAAATGGCATGCTGGCCTTCTAGGTGGCATTGCACGTGTTATATAATGTTTTAAAGATCAATAATAATCCTTTTTGTCTGTTTAATGTTTGACAGCTTGCAAGGATTTTCATCTATATGATCTTATTTAATTGTTACAGCCACCCTTATAATACAGTTTATTATTGTTGACATTTTAGATGAGGAATATGGGGCTGGATTTAATGTCAAAGAGCAGGATGGGGTGGGGGTCACTTCTCTACAGCTGGAGTAACTTGAAGGAGCTTCCCAAGCCACAGGCCAAACTACAACATTCAGTTATTTCTGTTCTGCACCTGCACCCAGGGTAGAGGGGAATCCCCTCTCTAGGGGGGAGGTCCCTCTAACCTGGATGTCAGGGGGAGCCCCCATCTACACCCAGGGGAGAGGGGACTCTGCCATCTAGGGGGGAGGTCCTTCTAACCTGGGTATCCAGGGAGCCCCCATCTACACCCAGGGGAGAGGGGACTCCGCCCTCTAGGAGGGAGATCCCTCTAACGGGGTGTCAGGGGGAGCTCTTATACCACCACAGCCAGGGTAGAGAGGACTCCCCCCTCGAGGAGGGAGGTCCCTATAACCTGAGTGTCTGGGGCGGGGAGTTTATAAACCACCGCAGTGGGGTAGAAGGGACTCCCTCCTCAGGGCGGGGGGAGGTCCCTCTAACCTGAGTGTCTGGAGGGGGGGTAGCTAGTATACCACCACAGCCAGGGTAGAGGGGACTCCTCCTCTAGGGAGGAGGTCCCTCTAACCTGGGTGTCAGGGAGAGTTCGCACTGACATCCAGGGTAGAGGGGACTCCGCACTCTAGTAGGGGAGGTTCCCTCTAACCTGGGTGTCGCACCCCTCTATGGGGAGGTCCCCTCCAACCTGGTTGTCTGGGGGAGCTCCCACTGCACACAGGGTAGAGGGGACTCCCTTCTCTAGGGAAGAGGTCCCTCTAACCTGGGTGTCGGGGGAACTCGTATACCATCGCACCCAGGGTGGAGGGGACTCCCCCCCCTACCCTGACCATGCCAGGTCTGGGATCTACCTCTTTCTCTCCTATCAACAATCCTCAGGCTTTTGAGGCTGGCAGTCCTTGGGCTCTCTTTCTTCTTAGTAACACATTGGCATCTAAACTCACCTCTTTCTTTTCTCTACTTCCATTCTCTACCAATCTTGAGTTCTGTTTTTTGTTTGTTTGTTTGTTTGTTTTGGTACCAGGAATTGGACTCATGGATATTCAACCATTGAGCCACTTCCCCAGGCCTATTTTGTATTTTATTTAGAGACAGGGTCTCACTTAGTTGCTTAGTGCCTCACTTTTTCTGAGGCTATGCTTTGAACTTGTGATCCTCCTGACTCAGCCTCCCTAGCCACTGAGATTACAGTATGCACCACTGCACCTAGCCTGAGTAATCTGTTCTCAGTAGAAGAAACAGACTCACACTGTTCACATTATCTTCTAGATCTTTTGTGTACTGCCTGACCTCACCCTTTGAAACCCCAAAGCCAAGGATCAATTTCTTTGTTTTCTACATTTCTCCAAGCCATTGCTTCTCTGAGCCTCTGAAAGTAAAATGTCTAAACCCTGAGCTGGAGGGCAACATAGGTTCCTATGCCAAGAAAGCTTCCTAAAGGAAGTTGACACCTCCACCCAACAGACAGATTGAAAAGTATTTAGAAGAGCTGGGGTTGTGGTTTAATGGTAGAGCGCTCGCCTAGCACGTGCAAGGCGCTGGGTTTGGTCCTCTGCACCACATTTTAAAAATAAATAAATAAAGGTATTGTGTCCAACTACAACTAAAAAAAATTTTTTTAATTAAAAAAAAAAAGTATTTAGAGACTCCCCCAGATAATCAGCCTCCATGAGGTTCTGAGTGGGAGGAAGTCCTGGCTTATTTGAAGGCATTAAGGGAAACATGTATGAAGAAACAGTGTCACCAATCAGAATGGAACATCAAGGCAAAGTGACAAGCTTTCCCTGTCAGTACTGAAGCTATTATCAACTATAGATCCAATGTGGGGCATCTAAAATGTCCTCCTGAGAGCTGGAGATGTAGCCCAATGGTAGAGTGCTTGCCTAGCTTGTGTGTGTATGGGGCCCTGGGTTCAATTTCCAACACTGAAAAAAATATTATGTATACATGTCCTCCCTTGACTCCCTATTCCCTCTCTATTTATTTCTCCCCCCTCTTTAAAATTTTGTGATGAGTTCTCTATACTTGTGTTTCCATTTCTTCAACCTATTTCAACGAGGCTCTAATCAAGGTCATTAATGACCTTGCCCATAAATCATAAAGCTGGTCTCTATCTTGCCAAACCTCTTCCTAGGATTCAATATAGTCGGTTCCCGTAGAACTCCTTAAAACATTCTTCTTGGTTCCTGGACTCTGTCTTGGCCCCCTTCTCCCTCTGGTCTTCTGGGTGAGTTCATCCACTCCCATGGCCTCAGTCTCTCATGCCTCCCAAATCTGTGTCATCTGCTCAGAGTGCTTTCTTGACCTCCAGACTTCTTTTCTTTTTCATTGCCAGAGATTGAACTGGAACCCAGGGCCTCACACATGCTAGGCAAGAGCTCTACTACTGAGCTTCACCCCCAGTCTCCACCTCCAGACTCCTGTGTCCAACCTTGGGTTCTATCCATTATCCCACAAGCTCCTCAAACTCAATGTGAACCAAACTGAAACTGAATTTATCATCTTTCCCATAAACCCATCCTTTCTCTGCTTTGTGTTCCATCATCCTTGGAAGAGGAGAGTCACATTAGCCATTAGTGGCCTAGGCCCAGCCCCTAGGTATCTTTTTTTTTTTTGGGGGGGGGGGGTACTCTACCACTGAGCCACATCCCCAGCTCTATTTTATATTTTATTTAGGGACAGGATCTCACTGAGTTGCTTAGTGCCTCGCTTGTGCTGAGGCTGGCTTTGAACTCATGATCCTCCTGCCTCCTGAGCTGCTGGGGTTACAGGTGTGCTGCCTGGCCTGGCCCCTGGGTATCATTTTGAAACATTCCTCCTCACAATCTCACCAGTGAGTTCTGTCAGATCCACCTCCACAATGTCTTTCTGGCCCACCCTTCAGTCCTACATACTGCCTCCACCATGGTATAAACCTCTGTCCTTTCTCCCAACAACAGCAGTAACCTTGATAGAGTCCCATGTCCCTACTGAGCTTTCTAAATCCCAAGTTAGAACATGCCACTCTCCGGCTTAAAACCCTTCAGTGGTTTCCCATTGCTCCTGGGGTCAGATTCAGAGCCTGACCTTGGCATTCACGGCCCTCTCCGTCTGTCTCTTCAGCCTCGTCTCTTGCCATTTGTCCAATCTTCTGCCCAGCGGCATTTAATCGCTTCCTTTAACTGGCACCTCGGACTCACCAGGCTCTGGCCTGCCGGCCACAAAGGTTTTCCTGTTCTTGGAAATCTCTTCCCAACCTTCCCTTGGCTAGTCTCTCAACTTCAGGTCCAGCTAAATGTCACCTCCTTGCTTCTCCTGGGCCAGGTTAGCACCCTGCAAGGCAGACATTCCTCACGGGTGTAATTCATGAATTTACAACGTCTGTAACTGCTGCCGCTGGACGCTGTCCGCCTGGTCCACCCTGCAGCCTCAGGATGAGCTGGGCTTCCAGCAGCCTCCTAGTTG